CAGGTGTGCACTACCATGCCCAGCTAATTTTTGTTTATTGTAGAGATGAGGTCTTGCCAAGTTGCCTGGGCTGGTCTTGAACCCACGGGCACAGACAATCCACTTGCCTCAGCCTCCCAAAGTGCTGGAATTATAGGCTGAGCCACTAAGCCCAGCCATTTTTGGTCTTCTATTTGTTTCCAGCTTTTCCTGTTCAGACAGCAGTTATTGTGTTTGTTTGTTTTTAGTCAGAGTCTCACTCTGTTGCCCAGGCAGGAGTTCAGTGGCATGATCACAGGCACTGCAGCCTCAACCTGCTGGATTCAGGCAATCCTTCCATCTCAGCCTCCCAAGTACTTGGGACCACAGGTGTGTATCACCATGCCTGGATAATTTTTTTTGTATTCAATGTAGAGACAAGGTCTCACCAAACTGCCTAGGCTGGTTTCAAATTCCTTGGCTCAGGCAGTCCTCTTGCCTTGGCCTCCCAAAATGTTGGAATTACAGGTGTGAGCCACCGCACCTAGCCAGAGAGCAGATATTTGAACTACAATGGAGAACTTCTAACTTAGGCCAGTTACAAAGTGGCTGTATCCTATACTCTTACAAGGAATGTTTAGAAGCTCCATTGGCTTCTCATCTTTAATAACACTTGGTAAGATCAGCCCTAGTCATTTTAGTCACTCCAGCTGGGGATGGTATGACCTTGTTTTGGTTTCAATTCAAAGTTTCTGATGAGCCTTTGTTGGACCTGGAGTTGGCAAATACTTTTTCCCAGTCTGTGGGCTGTCTCCCTGCTCTCTTGATGGTTTCTTTGGCTTTGCAGAAGCTTGTCAGTTTAATGAGGTCCCACTTGTCTATCTTATCTCTTATGGCCCTGTGTGTTTCGGGTTTTGCTCAGGAATTGGATGCCACATCTTGGATCTACAAGGAACTCAAACATGCTGAAAAGAAAAAAACAACCCCATTATAAAGTGGGCAAAAGATATGAACAAATACTTCTCAAAGGAAGACATCCGAGCAGCCAACAGACACATGAAGAAATGTTCAACCTCACTAATCATCAGGGAGATGCAGATCAAAACCACACTGAGATACCACCTAACTCCAGTCAGAATGGCAATTATCAACAACTCAAAAAATAACAGCTGCTGGAGAGGGTGTGGGGAAAAGGGAACACTTCTACACTGTTGGTGGGAGTGCAAACTAGTGCAACCTCTGTGGAAAACAGTGTGGTGATTCCTAAAAGCTCTAAAAACTGACCTCCCATATGACCCTGCAATCCCCCTACTGGGAATATACCCTGAAGAACTCAAATCACTCTATAAAAAAAAATACCTGCACACGTATGTTTATCGCAGCATTGTTCACAATAGCAATAACCTGAAATCAACCATGCTGTTCATCAAAAGAGAACTGGATTTAAAAAATGTGGTACATATACACAATGGAATACTATGCAGCCATAAAAAAGAACAAAATCATGAATTTCGCAGCAACCTGGATGGAACTAGAATCTATAATACTAAGTGATCTCTCACAGAGACTAAGATCTGAGTATCACATATTCTCACTCATATAGTGGACCTTGAACATCCAACGTAATAAGAAAAGGACTGACAGTGGTGGGAAACTATGGTGGTGGGGGGAAGGGAGATGGGATTAACGGTAGTCAATATCTGTCTGGGGATGGGGAGACACCTCTTATCAACAAGGGTGCCTGAACAAAGCATATTTGTATACCTAACCCTTAACTGTACCCCATAATATCAAAATAAAAAATATGGATTAATAAAAAAAAAAAGTTAAAAAAAAAAGCTTCTGATGAGTCATGCATGTTGGCTGTCTGAATAACCTCCTTTATAGGAAGTGACGGTTGTAGCATTCTGCACATTTACCAAAATTGAAATGTTTTTGTTGCATTTCTTGGGCATACTATTTTGTATATGTCCATTAAGTCAAGTTGATTAATTATGCAGTTCAAATATTTAATCTGCCTTATACTTTGTTCCTGTGTGTTCCCTCAGTTATTGAGATTTGTGTTTAAAATCTTCAACGAGTCATAATTTTAGTTCTGTCACTTTTGTGTTATAAATTCTGAGGCTGTACTCTCAGGTACCTGCAAATTAAACTTGCCATATTTTTATGTTGGGATGATCTCATTATAAAATGTCCCTCAATATTTAGTGATTAATTTTGTCTTAAGATCTATTTTGATGGTGATACTGCTATACCCCGTTTCTTCAGCTTAGGATATTTGTGCCCCATTTTTTCATTAACTTTCTTTCAGTGTTGTGTTTTTTATATTTAAAGTGTTCCTTTTTGCACCTCATCTAGTTTAACAGACCATCTTTTTTCTTTTTTGAGTTGAAGTCTCACTCTGTCACTCAGGTTGGAGTGCAGTGGCACACTCACAGCTGCCCCAGCGTCGACCTGCTGGGCTCAGACGATCCTTCTGCTTCAGCCTTTCAAGTAGCCAGAATTAAAGACACACACTTCCATAACGGGCTAATTTTTGATTCATTGTAGAGATGAGGTTTCACCAAGTTGTCCAGGCTGGTCTCGAACCTTGGGCTCAGGTAGCCCTCTCACCTCGGCCTCCCAAAGTGCTGGCATTATAGGTGTGAGCCACCGCTGCTTGGCCTAAGTGCTGGGATTCTTAAACTTGCTGCTATTTGAGTTTTGCAACAGTTTCACTTACCTTACATTCTTATTTTTTTTCTTTTTTTGACTTGGAGTCTCACTCCATTGCCCAGGCTGGAGTGCAGTGGCATGCTTCCAGCCACCCCGTCGTTGACCTGCTGGGCTCTGGCGACCCTTTCGCTTCAGGCTTCCAAGTAGTTGGAACTACAGGCATGTGCTACAACATCTGGCTAATTTTTGATTTATTGTAGAGACGAGGTCTTGCCAAGTTGCCTGGGCTGGTCTCGAACCTGCAGGCTCAGGCAATCTTACTCTCTTCTGCCTCCCAAAATGCTGAGATTACAGACCAAGCCACCAAGGCTGGCAAGATAATTTTTTTCCAATTAAAATGGTTAGTCCATTTAAATTTATATAATTTGATATCTTTCGGTCTTAGTATATCATCTTTCTGTTCATTTTGTATTTATTCCATCTGTTTCCTGTTGCTTTATTGCTCCTTTCTTGCCATCTTTGAAGCAAACTAAATGTATTCTGTGATTCATTTTTCTTCTCAACTTTTTGGTTTGACTTTTATTTTCATGATGACTATCCCAGAAATTTCAATATTCGTCTTTGACTTTTGCTTTACATGTTTCCATCTCATCCTTTGTTCCTATTTGTCATGGATTCTGCAAGATGTTGTCATTGTCAAGAGTCGCCATCCTTTCACATTTATCCACCTGGTGGCCATTTCTGCTGGTCTGAGTCTCTTCATGTCCTTCCATCCTTTCATGTGGCAAACTACTTCTTAGATATTTTTTGGTGGCATAGCCATCTGCTGGCGATGAATCCCCTCTGCCTTTGATTGGAAACATCTTTATTTTGCTTTCATATTTGAAGAGTATTTTCAGTGGACATTCTGGGTTGGCAGGGTCTCTTTTGTCTTTATAGCAATTATTTTTTGAGTCAAAGTCTCACTCAGTTGTCCAGGCTGGATTGCAGTGGCACCATCATGGCTCACTGCAGCCTTGACCTCCTGGGCTCTGGCACTCCTTCTCCTCAGCCTCCCAAGTAGCTTGGACTACAGGTGCATGCCACTCTGCCTGGATAACATTTTTATTTTTGCAGAGACGAAGTCTCACTATGTTGCTCAGCCTGGTCTCAAGTTCCTGGGTTCAAATAGTCTTCTTGCCTTGACCTCCCAAAGTGCTAGGATTACAGGCATGAGCTACTGCTCCTGGCCTCTTTATAGCAATTTAAAGATGTCGTTTTGGCTGGACTTGGTGGCTCAGCCTGTAATCCCAGTACTTTGGGAGGGCAAGATGAATGGATTGCCTGAGCCCATGGGTTTGAGACCAGCCTGGGCAACTTGGCGAGACTCATCTCTACACCAAATAAATCAATAAATTACCTGGGCGTGGTAGCATGTGGCTGTAGTTCTGGCTACTTGGAAGGCTGAGGTGGAAGGATTGCCTGAGCTCAGTAGGGCGACCCTGGGGTGGCCGTGAGCATGCCATGGCACTCTAGCCTGGGTGACAGAGTGAGACTCCAACTCAAAAAATACCAAACAAACCAAAATAAAGATGTCATTTCACTGTCACCTTTATAAGAGAGGGGTAATAAATGTACTTACATACCTGATTGTTTAGAGAATAAAATGAAGGTAACATAGAGAGAGTGCTTGGTATCATTTATAGCTGGGTGCCTTGTATATGCTGGGCAGTGTTTTAGGCACTGATGATACAGCCAAGAACAAGACAGACAAGGTCTCCATCCAAGTGGAGACTACATTCTTGCAGAGGGAGGACAGATGCACAAGGTTACAAACCAAGGCAGCAGAAAATACTATGAAGGGAAAATAAAATCATTATGTAGGCAAGACCATGAAAGGAGATGATTGTCAGATCCATGGGCTGGTGCCATGGGTAAGATGCAAAGAATTGCCCAGAAATTAGATCGGGAAAGATAGTTTGCTTAGAAAGTCATTTGGAAAGAGAGGATTCCCTTCTCAAGGGAGAAAAGGGGCCAGACGCTTGAAGGAAACATGGCAGTGAGTGCTTGGGGTTGAAGGCTTGTAAAACTTCCCTTTGGGGGGCAGGTAGCCATGGTGATGGGGTGGTGGTCTGTGTTATACCACCACAAGGGGGACAGATAAGCCCAGGAACTGCTGCCATGGTGATGGGGTAGGTTAGAATAAGCTGTGGAAAACCGCATGGCAGAGCTGAGCAATGTCAAAACGGCCGCCGCTTTGACTAAAGTGACTCCATTTTGACTTTTTGCCCTTTCGATGATATTTATGGCTTATGATTTCAACGTTCTACTTCTTCTCTCTAGGTCCTGCCTGTTCCGTGGACGCATGAGTTGTTTGTTGAAGTGAGAAATCTTATGTGTTGGGCAAGATGAGCTTTTCCACGGCCATCTCCAAGGATAGTCGTTCCCAGGATGGGCTTCTGTCTTCCCTGATGGCTCTGGATCCGTACCAACTAGAGGAATTCCAACTTTACCTCGGCGCCCTGTGACTGATCCCCCAGGGGCTCTTCCTGTGCATCCCCTGGGCAAACCTGAGAGCCGCTGATCCTGTGAATCTGTTCATTCTGTTGAACGAGCACTTCCCCAAGGATCAGGCAGGGAAAGCAGTCCTCGGCATCTTCCAGAAAATGAACCTGACTTCGCTGTGTGAGGAAGTTGGAGCAGAGATGAAAGGTGAGAGAGTCTTCAAGAAGGAAGGGTGGAGGGGATGCCATTGGCCCCGTGGGAGCAGGGAGGTGGCTGCTGGGTTGTTATGGGGTCATTCTACACTGCTGGTCTACCCTAAAAAGAGAAACGCCCTGGTTATCTAGGAAGGTGTGAAGTATTTTATTTTTGTTTTTTTAGATTCAAAGCTACATGTGTGGGTTTGTCATATATGTGTATTGCAGGGTAGTGAGGTTTGGGCTTCTTTTGAGACCCTCCCCAGGTGGTGGGCATGGTTCCTAGTGGGCAGTCTTTCAACCCTTCCTTCCCTCCCTTCCTCCCCATGGGGGGAGTCTCATGTCTGTTATTCCCATCGTTGTGTCCATGAGTACCCTGGGTTTAGCTCCCACTTGTAAGTGAAAACACGTGGTACCAGTTTTCTCTTTCTGTGATAATTCATATAGGATGATGATCTCCAGCTGCACCCATGCCATTGCAGAGGACATGGTTTCATTCTTCTTTATGGCTGAGTAGTATTCCATGGTGTCTATGTCCCACATTTTCTTTATCCAGTTCACGGTTGATGGGCGCCTGAGTTGGTTCCATGGTCTTGCTTTTGTGGGTCATGCAATAACCACATGAGTCCAGGTGTCTTTGGTATGGTGACTTATGCTCCTTTGGGTACATAACCTGTAGTGGCATTGCTGGGTCAAATGGCAAATCTATTTTTGGTTCTTTGAGAAATCTCCAAACTGCTTTCCCCAGGAGTTGAACTAGCTTGCCCTCCCACCATTGATGTCTGAGAGTTCCCTTCCTCCCCAACCTCACCAACATCTGTTTTTTGACTTTTTAATGGAAGCCATCCTGATGGGTGTGAGATGATATCTCGCTGTGGTTTTGATTTGCCTTTCTCTGATGATCAGTGATGTTGAGCACGTTTTCATGTTTGTTGACCACTTGTCTATCTTCCTATAAAGGCACAAAGCTTAAAGGTATCAAGGCCATAAGGATTTAGGTCTCCTGCCTGGGGAGAAATGGCAGGCGAAAGCATAAAGAGGGATTGAAAGAGGTACATTCAGTACTTTTGTCAGGCGTTTTTTGAAAATGCAGTTTTGTTCCAATGTGATTGTTTCCTTGGGAACAGCTGGAGCATAACACAAGCTTCAAGTTTGCCTATGCAAGATTTTTCCCAAGAGAAACACGAGGTGCATGCAGAAACTCAAGCCCAAACAGCCCTGCACCCACCAAGCTGAGTCATGGGTACCCAGGCACACACCTCGCCTCAAACACGGACCCGCTACCTATGCACATGCCGCACCCACGCCAAGCCTTCTGCCTGATTTTGGGTCACGCTTCTTCCACCACTCCACAGAAGTCGCAAGTGGCGGCCCTCTCCAGCCCACCACACATGCCATGTTTTACTTAGGGTCATGTGCTGTGGCTGGCGGGATGTGTTGTGATGTGGCAGGTGTGTTGGGACTGGTGGGGGTGTTGTGATGTGTGGGGGTGTATTGTAATGTGGCAGGGGTGTTGTGACGTGGCGGGTGTGTTATGGCTGGTGGGGTGTGTTGTGAGTTGGTGGGGTGTGTTGTGACCTGGCGGGGTGTGTTGTGGCTGGTGGGGTATGTTGTGTCTGGTGGGAAGTGTTGTGACCTGTTGGAGTGTGTTGAGGCCTGGTGAGGCCTGGTGCAGCGTGTTGTCACTGGCAGGGTTTCTTGTGGCTGGTGGGATTGTGCAGTGTTTATTTAGTATGGAAGTGTTTCTGAAACTAATCAGCTGTGCTGCCTTTCTTAAGTCTCTGTCTTTATAAAATGTGTTAACGGACCCCTTCTCCATAAGCCTCAGGTTTTTATGCCCCACTTCAAACATTGGGTGAGTTTCAGGAAGGCATGTGCCACTTTGTAGCAGAACTGCCTGCCTGTGAAGTCGGGGAGAGTCACAACAGTCGCTGGGGCCTGTCATCATCCAGGCATTGGCCTCAGGGCCCTCTGTGTGTTTGTGCTTACTAGTCCCTGCATTCATAAGAAGGGTCCTGTGAGTCCTATTTCATGGAGAAGGAAACTGAGGCACAAAAGCTTCAGTGAGCTGCCCAAGGTCACAGAGCTGGTCACTCAGAGAGTTGGGACTTGAACCCAGATCTCCAGAGCCTCCCCACTTGACTGTATGCTGCTTTCCTTGCTCCAGAACAAGACAAGGGGTTGTCAGAAGGGAGGAATAGAGATTTCCACATCAGCGCCTTGGGTGTTGGACACTCTGAGTTATAAAAACCCAGGATTTTTGTATCTTCTGGTGGACAGGAGAATGGGCTGGAGACTAGAAATCTTCCCACCTTCTCCTCTCCTCTTCCTGCCTCACTTAAAATTCTCAGATGCTCTTGTTTGGAACAGATAGATGTTAAGCAGAAAACCATTGGGACTGGGACTAGAATCCTTAAGTTATGTTTCCTGACCAGGTGCAGTGGCTCACGCTTGAAGCCCCAGCACTTTGGGAGGCAGAGGTGGGAGGCCCCCTTGAACCCAGGTGTCCGAGACCAGCCTGGGCAACGGCCAGACCTCATCTTCATGATAAAAATTAAAAAAAATAATCCAAGTGTGTTGGCACACTCCTGTAGTCAGCTTCTCAGGAACCTGGACCGCAGAGTGAGACCCTGACTCAAAAATAAAGGGATATTAATACATTAAAGAATGACCATCATTAATAAAACATGAAACAACAGATGCTGGCAAGGATGTGGAGAAAAGGGAACTCTCCACTTCTAGACTGCTGGTGGAAATGCAAACTAGTTCAACTTCTATGGAAAACAGTGTGGTGATTTCTAAAAGATCTAGAAATTTGCCTTCCATGTGATCCAGTAATCCCCCTACTGGGACTATACCCAGAGGAACTCAAAGCATTCTACCAAAAAGATACCTGCACATGTGTGTTTATTGCAGCACTATTCATAATAGCAAAAATGTGGAACTAACTGTGTTGCCCATCAAAACTAGACTGGATAAAATACATGTGGTGCATAGACACAATGGAATATTATGGAACCATAAAGAAGAACAAAATTATGGACTTTGCAACAAAGGATTTAGAGTCTATCATACTGAGTGATGTATCATAGAAACAAAGAACTGAGTATCACATGTTCTCACTCATAAGTAGACCCGAACATTTACCATCATACTACCAGGAAGGGATTGGCGGTAGTGGGACACAGAACATCAGTAAGCGTATCTGATCTCAAATCAGGCGAAGTGGGGACCAAGGGGAGGCCCAAACTTTACCTGTATGATGACCACTTGTCTACCTAATCCTGAATTGTATCCATCTTTAAAATAAAAAAATTAATAAAAAATAAATATATACCTTCTGTGTCCCACTGGCAGTCCCTTCCCAGAGGAAGGAATTTGCACAGAGGAGAATGCTCTTAAAAAACAAAAAAAAGCTTTTTTTCCTTCACTGATCCTGAGTGGCAACATAAATCCCTGTCTGAAGGGCCAGGCAAGACAAACTCAGAGGAGAGCCTTTTCCCTGGTGCTTGTCCAGTTCCTACCTGGCCTTCTAGATGGGCGGGCTGTGCAGGGGGATACATCTTGAGTAGGGAAGTCCTAGACACATCCACCTTACCAGCAGTCTGGGAGGTGGTAGCAGACGTCCAGTGGGTGGATCTGGATGTTTTATCTGCCCTGCTCTCCCCATTATAGGATCAGCACAGCAATGTCTCATCACCTTGGGGACACGTCTGTGGGTGAGTTTGTGAATGTGTGTGTTTCTTTTGGGGACTACTGGCTTAAGAGCTCAGGTTCTGGAGTCAGGCCACCTGAAGTCAGGCTAGTTTTGATTTGGAGTGTGTTGGGGTGTGGCATAAAGCTCATGGAGTCTTTGACTCAACCCTGAAATGAATTTTAGAGCGGCCAGCAGAGTTTCAAAACAAAGTCTATTAGAGAAAGAAGAGAGGAAAGAAAGGCAGGCAAATGTTTTATAACAGAAAGACCTGGTGCAGGCAAGAGTCTCTCTTGAAAAAGAGCCCTCACTAAGAAACTCGATGTATTTTCCCAGCAATTGACATGCTAAAGAGGGTGGAGCCCAGATAACTGCCACCCCAGAGATAGACATCTCTCTGCTTCTGATGGGAGGAGTGGGTGGAGGGGTGGTCTTTTCCTGACCGCACTGTCTTTTACAGGAGACCTGCCAGACGTTTCCAGTTCACAAGTGCATGAGCCAAAATGTGGTCCTATAATCATGTCTATGGCTTTGGTTAATTAAGGGGTGGTCTTTGGCCTTCCACAGGGAACCTGAAAGATTTTTATTGATGATTGTGAATGGAGTTGGGACTTTCTTTTGATTTGCTGAGGGGGGTGGGGTAGGTAGCCAGTGTTGGGAGCCAGTCTCGGAGGCCTGCCTGCTGATAAAATCCAGGGGGCTGAAGACCCTGGGTTGCAAAGCGAACCTGGGCAGCTGAGACCCTTGCTTCTTCTACTTTTGTTATTAGTGCAGCCGAAAAGTTCTGTACAGTCCGAGGATGGAAAGCAAAATTCCACTCACACGTCCATGACCCCTTGCAAAAAGGCAAGAGGGGAATTCATGAAAAATTCCCTTCCTTTCATTGAATTCCTCCCTAGGTTTCCACATCCCCAGCCTCCTGGCGTTAAACCATGCAATCACTTGATTAAACATTGTAGCTGGGAAAATTGTAAAAAATCAGAAGGTGCTCGATTTAATGTTTGTCAGGGAACTCACTGACCTTGCCAGGAAATTATCAATAGAGATTTTAAATATCGTGTGCAGGTAGATAATCACTTGTAAGATTTTATTTCTTCTGATTGGCGACTAATTGGAGAAATTTGAGAAGCTACAGTTTGTATTTTTAGGAAGAGTGCCAATGCAAAAATTACGTTTACTTAATTTCTTAATTTCTACATGTGGTGTATTATGCTTAAAAAATTAACAATCACATAAATATTAGAACACCCTTGCCTTTACCTCCCTTTGTTAAGGAAGCTTGTAATTCTGGTTAGGGATTGTGACTAAGGTGACTTGAG